AAGGACCACAGAAATGACCATGAACACTTAAACTATACAAAATAAACTTTATACAGGAAAATTAAGTTGTTCTGACTTTTTAATTTTCTTCAAAAAACTAAAAGCTCTCAGTCAGTAGTAAGTGTATAATTAAAAAAAACAGGAAAATATGTGATATATAAAACATTAGAAATTTTGAGAATCTTTTTAAAAACAGTTTAAACAGTACTTACCTTTCTTCCTCTCCTAACTTAAAGTAAACATCTCTATGGCATTGACTTGTATTTCTTTCAAAGTTTGGATCACCTTCCRGCATTTTAAACATTGCACTTTTAATGTCCTTAAATTGAGGAGACTTTCTCCAAATTGAAGTTCTTTTTGCCAGTGTCACCTCCTTTGGGACATCTTCATTCTTTTTATCACAACCTCTACTTAGTCCTTTCAAAGGTACTAACATTCTCTGCAAGGTATTCCTTCTATAACTCCATTTATAATGGACTTTGTTTTCACTTGCAAAATGAGTACATGCTTTTTGCTGCATTTTTATCCTTCCTGCTTTTCAATTATCTGTTTTCCTAATGTGTCAAAAACTGAATGTCTTACCAGGAAAAAATATAATACAACAAACTTTGCATTCAGTGTCTGAACTGAATTATACATAGGCGGTAATCACAGGCATATTTCTGAAAGAAGTGACATGATTGGTCACTCATCCTGATTTATTTATTGTGTTGTACCTGTTGACTGAGCAAGCTGAAAAGGTTGGATTTTATGTAATTATTCAGTTAAAATGCTTTTGTGGTGTTTAATCTTGGTTGTAAATTTCAAGATAGATGCCTAGAGAATTGGTAAAGCACACTTCTTTTTGGGTGTCTATGAGGATATTTGCACAGATGATCGCCCTATGGTTAGTAAATTAGGTAAGAAGATTCACCCTTGGATGGAGTAGAAAGCTGGCCCCCTGTGCAAGCTCAGTTTTTTTTTTTTTTTTTTTTGAGCAGGAGTGTTTTTTGGTGCTGCCATCACCTGCTGATACCAGACTTCAGCTTCTTCAGTTTTTGAACTTGGACTCACACCAGTGACCCTCTAGGGAGCTGTCAGGCCTTCAGTCTAGGACTGCTGCTGCATCCTTACTACCTCGTGTGAGGCTTACTACTTCTTGGACTATTGGTTTCTCTGGCTCTTTAGCTTGCAGACAGCCACTGTGGGACTATCCAGCCTCTAATCATATAAGTCAATCTAATAAAAATCCTTTTATAATTATATGTACATTYCATTGGTTTTAGTCCTCTAGAGAATCCTAATACACTGTATAAACAGGAATTTTTAAGTGTTATATTTCCAGTGTTCATCATTCATTTATATAGACCCATATTTCCACTTTCCTAATTGTTTGATATGCAGTGTGCTGAAATCCACTTTTCCATGTAGTCTTTTTTTTTTTTTTTAATTTGGTGGGTTCAGCAAGAAAGAGTATATGTAGTTTCTGTTATTCCATTTTGAACTAATTAAACAGATACTTTTCAAAGAATATCCAAAATTACCTGAAAAGACTATTACACTTCTTCCTTTCTTCAAATACTTCAATTGTAACAACATATTACAATGAATTAAATGTACAAACTTGAGAATCTATAGCTATCTTTTGTAAAGTCAAACATGAAAGATTTGCCAAAAATATAAACAATGCTATTTTTCTAGAAAAAAAAATGTTTCATAAAAATGTCCATTAACATAACTATCTTAAAATGTACCAATAAATATCATATCTAATGTGGTAAATATGAACACATAGAACCCACATAAGCCAAAAGTTTTTTGAAGCAAGTATCAGAAACCTTAATTTTACTATCTGGATTGGAGTTTCACTAGCCACTTGAGGTATGCCATATCTTAAGATTAGGAAATTTAAGTTTTCCTCAATTGATTTAAAACTGKAACACCCAGAAGTAACACTAAAATAATGAAATAAAATAAAGACATTTAAAAACAGCTACATATTTTATGTATTTCCTTATTCTCTTTAATAGTTGAATGAAAAAAAAAAAGGCAACCTCAATGTACGTTCATTCAATCAACATTCAGACATGCAAATACATAAAGCTCAGCAGTTACCTGAAACACAAATTGGGACTGGAAATTCTCCTGAGCTAAGAAGTTAAAATACCTRTAGAATACTCATTTCTGGCACAAATGCCTGAAATGCTTTAATTCTTTCTTGTTCAARTAGTTTCCATAAATCATTGGTTCTTATGAATTGTTTCCACAGATGACAGTATATTCAATAGGTAAGATCACAATTTTTTTTTCCCCCTCATACTTAACAGCTCTTGGCTCAGTGACTCTGGAAGCTCCCTTTGGACCACTGCAGTCCCCAGTCATTGAGGGCTTTTGCTTCAATGTCCACGCAAACTATAGTTTAAGGAAAAGTTCCTTTCTAAGATCCATGAAAACCCAATGGAATCAACAGACTGTATGTGCATGGAGGCCACCCTCACCCATGGCCTCTACTGATCCCACCTAGACCAGAGCCAGAATCCCAGCCCATAACGCACACCAAAATCAGTGCCCAGGGCTTCAGCATTCTGCTGGGTCTGGCTGTTATTCACTGTGAAGTCTCAGCGTGAGCCTTTAAACAGGCTTTGAAAGAGCCCCAAGAGATCATTCTAAAACCCAGGAACACCTATTCACTCTGCCATAGGACTCATTCCCGCCTCTCCTCTAACAAGCTTCTGAGGGAGGAAGTGGCTAATTATACAATTGTCATTTTTTTTTTCCAAAAAATAGCAAATTTGGTTGTGTTTGGGTGTCGCATGCTTCTATTTGTGCCTCATTTCTACTCCTGACTTATAACACTAATCCACCTGTGAAAAACAACAACAAAAAATCACAATACCTGGGTTCAGCTCTAACTTCTAATTGTGTGATTTTGAGAAGGTCATTTAATCTGTTTACTTTGTTTACTTTCCCTATTTTTTTTTTTTAAGAGAGAGTGAGAGAGGAGGGAGAGAGAGAGAGAGAGAGAGAATTTTTAACATTTATTTTTAAGTTCTCGGCGGACACAACATCTTTGTTGGTATGTGGTGCTGAGGATCGAACCCGGGCCGCACRCATGCCAGGTGAGCGCGCTACCGCTTGAGCCACATCCCCAGCCCTACTTTCCCTATTTTAAAAATAGTAAATTGTTACTTTATAAATGACTTTTCTGAGATGCGAAATAATACAGTTAAAGTGCTTAAAACCATTTCTGGTAAATAAAACATTTAGCAATTATGATTTAGTCAATAAACTTTAAAGACACATGCCTGAAATCAATTGCTATATGTATCCATTTATAAGRAAAGATACAAAGATAAGTTTGGTGTTTTGTTTTTAAATTCCACAAGTGATTATGARTACAACAGCATGGAAACCATGGTTTGGATTCTACATAAATTATCATTTACACCAATAATCAGTGTTAAACTAAATTTAATTTGTTCCTAGAATCATTTCACAACCCTAAAGATCAGGGAATGAGTCAAACTGATGCAGGTAGGACAAAAAGAATCTCTTACAACCTTAGTCTATGTAAATTCATTCAAAATTTAATAAGTAATCTTCAAATATTARTATCAAGATGAGTCTTAATGGACAGAATGGGCTAAAAGCACTCTAAAGAAAATGAGCAGCAAGAAGGAAGAATTGAAGCAAAGATAGAGATATTCAAAGCATAGTCAGATCACAGTGAAGCCAATTTAGTAAAAGATTCCCTTCATTTTCTTACATAGAAACTTAAAAGAATTTAGGTTCTATTCTGTATATATTGTTAGACAAATAATACAGGTTACTTAAAATCTGTTACTCTATCTCATACATAAAAATACCATTTACAAGATGATACATACCCAAAGACCAATAACTACCATATTATCAGAGCCCTAAGACACCAGAAGTGGTGAATACCATGCCATGATAGGTGTTTCATATCTATAACTTTCCTCAGGTCTCCTACAGCCATTTTCAAGCAATGAAGTTTCCTTACTGCCTTACACACTCTAGCTATACTTATATTACTGGCTCAGCAAATTCCAAACAAGTAAAACAAAASCAAAAAGGGAAGAGAAAAAAGAAAGACAGAAACATGGAGAAAAATTAATAAAATTAATTGATGAGAAAATTGCAGTTATAGGAAAACCAAAGAGAGAAAGACTCTCATTCTTATATCCTGGAAAGAGTAATTCTTGAAAATAAAGAGTAATGAGCATTGTATTAAATAGTCCTTAATGTGCTTTTAATTATGTTTCTTGTATTATAAAATAATTACTGCTMGCCCAAGTTGTTTTATGCACTAATACTTTGAAGCAAATGGTAAAACTGTCTAGGTGTCCAAAGGAATCATTCTAACACAAGAACAGTTTTAACTTGCCCATGACTTTGAAAATAACTACTGACTTTTCTCATCAATACAATAAAGCTGGATTGGGCAACGTCTGTCCCGCCAGTTCTAAATGTTAATGACAATGTATTACGTACATAGCTAACCCATTCCTTCCCTTTTTCTAAGCTAGACTTCTTTTTTCCCTAAAAATGTTAAAGTTTTCAAATTGTATCACATAGTTGAAATATTACACTTCAAGTCTACATCTAAGTAGGAATTGAAAATAATAATTTCCCTACAAATAAACCAAAGTTTTTTTTTWATTTCCAAACCAAGCATATTCCTAGGAATATGGAAGTATTAATTAAAAATTAGAAACGTACAAAAACCTTAAGCAATAGTTACTGAAAACTACCAAAATAGACTATTTAACATAAAAAATTTGAAGCTTTGTATTAGAAGACACAGAAGACACATTTTTATAATTACATGTTTTTGATGATCTTCTGAAATCATAATATTTAAAAATATAACTAGTTTCCTTTGTATAATCTTAGTACATAATTGCTAACTTTTCAAAACTTTCATATAAATTCTCAAGGAAAGGATTAATTTACCATTGCAAACAATGATTTATTAAATAATAAAGTAGAAGTCCATGCTTTATAAGTAAGAATTTCTCACAGAGAAATCAAGAAAAAAATATTTCCTATCATAGATAGTTATCAATAACTTATAAGTCTTCCAACCAGTATTTCATTAAAGAAATTAAGTGGGAGCTGAATTTACAGATGATGCCTGTGCTTTGGCCATTCTTCGAACCAGTGCTTCTTGTCTTTTTCTCTGAATTTCTTCAGGGGAATATTTCCTATTTTTTTCTTCTTCCTCTAAAAATTAAACAAAATATGTATTAATTTTGTAACTTATAAAGTCATCATCCTCATTTACTATGCTGCGTTAGCTATTAAATCATACTAAACTACTAAATGTAAAATTCCAAGTATATACATATAGATACAAATGYTCTAGGTCAAAAGAAAATCAAGCACTGATGACTTTGTCTCTATTTGAGGCATTTTTCTTYTGTGTGACAAAATTCAATTTGATTTCAAACTGTTTTGTTGATCACCAATAAGTAATTCTTATGGATTAATGAAATCTAATTCATATAACCTATAAATGTATAGATCTTAAACAGGGATTCTAAAAACATTATATGAACTTTCTGATGTCTTTTTTGGTAAGGTAAGTGGCAGATTATCCATCCATAAAAAAATGTAGATAGGACAGTAGATATTTCCCAAGCTAGCTACCTAATGGACTGAAGCTATTTTTTCTTCCAGAAAAATACTTTATGATTAGCTTGACTAATTAGCTAATAATTTAGTCTCAYAGCCAAGAAACCAAAGTTCAGAATTTATATACAGTTTACATTCAATTGAGAATAAGGATAGAAAGAAAACAATAATACACATCAGCCTAGAAGAATATAACTTCCTGAAATTGATTTTATGACTGGGCTGATATTACGGAAAACAATTTCAAATGATATCAAGTCACACCATGCAAATYTGATTTTGGGAGAGCCATTCATTTTTCCCATCAGCTGTTCCTTTAACTCAACATATAATAAAAATCTACTTGCRAAGTCCAACTATTGCATAGTACTAAGCAAAAGTGGCTCTTTTAAGTTTGATTTTAAAATAAAGGGTCAGCAAATTTTGTTTCACCACAGGGTTAGGATATAAACATGTTAATTTTTGAGAAGCATATACTCTATTACAATTGCATAAAATCCTGCATTGTACCATGAAAATACTCATGGATGGTGTGGAAACAAATGATGTGCTRTGTTCAAATAACTTTGTTTAAGGCCAAAGAAATATGAATTCAATTTTCAAGTATAATGAAATATTAGTCTTTCTTTCATTTTTTTTCCCCCTTCAACCATTTAAAAGGTAAAAATCATTTTTAGTGTGCTTGCTATATAAAAAACTATGGCTTGTCCAAATACAGCCCAGAGCCAGTTATCAACTTTGCCTCATATCCATGAATTAAGTGGATTTTGCTTCAAAGAAATTTCCTGGAGAGMAGCAAAGTACAAGTAAGTAGAAACAGAAAACATTGACAAGGTTAATACTAATCAGGAGATTAAGGACAATGGATAAGCTTACAAGAAAAATTGGTAAGTGGCAGATTATCCATCCATAAAAAAATAGGATAGTAGATAGGACAGTAGATAGGTGTTCTGAAAAATTCAAATATTCATTTATAGAATTATAGTCATATGAAAATAAATTTACATTTCTGAAGCATGGTTGTACCTACTGGTATTTTGGACTATAATATGGAGAAATATTCACTGTCAGTGTTGATAAATAATGTTGAGGTATTTATTTTGGAGGAAAATTTGGTCATCCATCAAAATTCAAATTCTCTTATATCAGGTTTTAAAAAAATTAGTAGATATAATCAAATAAGCAACCAGAAATTTAAGTAAAATATTCACTATAGTATTGTAATTTCAATAAACTACAACCAACCTAAATTACATCTATATAAAAACAGTTATTATGGTATATCCATAAAACATATCATGTATTCGTGTAAGCAAATCTTTACGTACTAACAGGAGAAGATGGCTATAATATGTTAAATAAAGGCAAAAGCCAAGTTGCCAAATAGTGGGCATATAATTCCATCTATTTAAATGTGCATGCACGTGTGTACAAAAACACCTTCTTTAAATCCACAGAAAATGCTTCATGATGTATATTGAATATATATGAACAGTGGTTTCCTGTRATAAAATAATTTGGAAAATGAGAAATTGAAAAGACTTGTTATTTCGAGTTATTCTATACTTCTTTCTTTCTTCCTTTTTAAACAACTAGCAGATTACTGGTATAAGCTAATAAAAAAGACTTAAATAGAAATATTGTAGCAGTAATGTCAACAAAAGCATTACTCAGAATCTAAATGACAAAAATGATCTAATGTTAAAAGAAACCAAAAACTCGTTCATAAGCACCAATCAACATAAAAGTATGAGTTAGCTTCAAGTGAGGAAGCGTGATTAAGAAAATCTRTAATTATAAGTCAGCGTAATAATGCTATAAAAATAGTTAGCATCCCAGATAAAGTAAATCATTCTGGGTAGATAGAAACACATTGCATATTAAAGGATAAATGGAAACAAGGCAGGTAGATTTCATGTATGTATGGAGGATGCTGTTTTGATGAAGAAAACATTACACAAAAACATCAGGCTAGGAAAGAGCACTGGCATTAAGAACCACAAATAGTTAATGCTGGACATATTCCCTCATAGAAAATATAATAGTATCAGTGAATAACAGGTTTTTTTACATTATACTGCATGATGTTCATCCAGATATTGATTAGGTATGTTCTAAGTGACAGATGCTGTGGCAGGCCTAAGTATTACAGAAACTAAATATTTAATTGCAACTGGTGATAAAAAGAATGAAAGAAYTAAGAAATGGTAGAAAACAAAGAAAAGACCCACTTATAGATTCTTCAAGGAAGTGCTCCGCAACATATATGTTGAAACAATAAAAGGGTGGGGTGGTGGGGTCAAATTTGGAAAGGCATTGTTATAGTCAAAGGAATAGCATGATCTAATTTCTTGATCTAGGAAAGAACCTATTCTGTTTGAAAAATTGAAGAGTTGGTATAGTTGAACCTTAGTAAGTAGACAGGTTAAGGAGACATAATTCAGGACTTTTTAGATCTCAGTGTAAAGTTTAGATTTTATTTGAAATACGATGGGCAGCCATTGACAATTGTTTTACACATAGAAATGTCATGTGTGCCTATCTGGTTTTAAAAAGACTATTCTGCTATTTGGAGACTAAAACTGAAGGGGAAAACATAAAAATAACTATAGTAATCTAATCAAGAAATGTATTCTTGGATAAAAGTGGTAGTGATAGAGAGTGAGAAAGATGGGTCATCTGTAGATACGATTTTTAAAGTATGATCAAAGGAATTTAATGACAGATGGAAGAGGTGGGGAAAAGAGGAACTGAAGAATTGAAAATGACAGATAGTATCAAATAARTAAATCACCATTTTAACCATTACAAATAGCACCGAGGTTTACATCAGATATTATACTAGTAAAGGTGTTTAATTAGAAAGTTCCAAAATGCCAACTATTGTTCACTGTTCTACTAAAAGTAGGAGTAAGATTAAGTTTTAAAACAATGAAATACTTAATAAATAGCTTATTAAATACATACAATGTTAAACCTAACATTTTAATATATTCACTTTTAAGAAATAATTCATAAATTGTTTAACAGAGTACCTGGTATATGTTGGTCATTATAAGTAATGGGAAAGAACCCAATGCAATCTTCTGAAAAATAATCCACCTATACTTCATATATTTAGCATAATTAATTACAAGAATTACTTTAAGAATTCTAGTTAAAAACCAAAGTTTTACCTCATATACCTCTGTCAAAACAACAAATAACTAGTTTTACTACTTTTAAAAGGAAACTATTTCATACATACCTTTTGAAGATTGTTTCAAAGATTCAGAAATTTTCACCAAAGACATCTGCTGACCAGCTTCCCCAGGTATTGAATTCACAGTTTTCTTTTTCTCCAAACCTTGTGTAATTTTGGTAGTAGACATACTTGTTTCTATACAATTTTGATTAAGCTGACAAAGAATCTGAGGATTTTTTGTCTTTGAAAAAGTATACTTTGAAAATCTAATTGCTTTGTTAAACTCACTTTGTGCTTCATCTGTTTGGGGCCTATGGGAAAGTTGCTGGGTAATCAGTTTCTTCTTATTACTAGCAATTACTGGGCTCACATAATTTGAATTCACATTCAGACTTGAACTTCCTGCAAAAACTGATTTAGAACTGGGCATTTGCATTAGAACATCACTGTTATTCCTATACACATGCAGATTATTCATCAGACAATTTGAGTTCTTAGAGTATGTAGTCAAGTTTGTTGTAGTACCCCAAAATTCTGAAGAATTTCCACTCATTTCCCTTTTCTCCATTTTCACTGATTTATTTATTTGTGTGCCAACTGTCAAGGAAGACGTCTGCACTGTAATGCTGCCCAGATTCAAATGATTTGATTGTGYCAACTGACTTCCTTGTTTAGATGTAGTAGATATATTTTTTGATCCATGTTTGGAACTATCATTGATCTCAAGTATACTTTCTGATGTTTTATTGTCCTTTAAAATGTCCTGTTGCTGAGTTAGTCTTTCAATATCATCACATGCTTGATACAACAAATCATCATCTACATTATCTGCTTCCCAAGAAGTCTCTAATCGATGACATGTTTCAAAAATTTCATTGGCAAGTGATGGATCATTCCAATCATCAAAGAAAGAACCTAACTTTGATGCATTAGTCTGATCTGGTTTATTAACAACTGTTTCACAGTCCAAAGTTGAAGAGCCAAAGGGATCAATATTAACAGGTGCTTTGAAAGACTGATTAAAAATGGGCTTATTTTTTTGTTCACTAGAATGTTTTGTGTTCAAAGCAGACTTCTTTTCAGAAGTATTTACGTTAGAAGTAAAATTGATACAGATATCTTCTTTTACTTTTGTCAGATTAGATGTAACTGCACAATCTTGAGTTTTGTCTTGACTAACAATTTTACTTGAAGATTTCATTTTATTTCTAGTGGATGATAATTTGCTTGATTTATCATTTGGATTTGATGAAAATCTGTATTTTCCAGCATCTATTAGTTCTCTGTTATGTGTTTCTGAAGGTAAATCTTGTAATACTTCTGAATCTCCTAACTTGGCATCTAGACTTTTATTTGTTCTTGATGTATTTCCACCATATTCACTAGTAAAGGTATAAATTCCCTTATGATCAGTAACCTGGGCAGTTTTAGAAGGAAAAAGTTCAGCTTCAACATTTTGCATAACAAAAGGTTCATTACTTAGTAATTTTTCCCAATCGTCCTCCAAATCACTGGTGGTAAATGTACCAATGGGCTTACTAGAAGCTTCTGGCTCTTTACTATACGGAGTCACACATGATTTTGTCATTATGGGAGGATCTACCTGTGGATAAAGTGAATCTTGGGTTTTACCTGGCAGTTTTTCAGTGACCAGAGTACCATTAATAATGATTTTCTCCTCTTTCAAAGCATTTTTTCTAGTGTTCAAAAAAGCATCTGCCAGATCTTGGCTTAACTGCCCACTACATTTCTGGGTAGAATCATCAAAAAGGGCATTAAAGGCTGCTTCAGCATTTTGGTCAAATGGCTTCTGACTACTGCTTTGATCATTTGCCACAGATATTCTGGTGTTTCCTTTCATTGGCTTCTTTATTATGGCATTATCTATAATTGGAACTACATCATGTAAGGGATGCACCTGTACATAATCATTACAACTATGTGAAGTCTCTGCTTTTGAAATCTCCTGGATAAAATCATGATTCCTCTTGTTTTGCTCTTGAGCCACATCTAGCTCTTCCATATTTTTATCAAATTGTTCAGCCAATTTCATAAGTTCTTTTTCTCGATATTGTGTTTTTAGCCTATTAAACATTAAAAAATTATAATTAAGCAATATTCTATATCATTAGAATCAATTGTTATTTAAGATAATTGTTATTTAGTTAAAATGCCAAAATTTAACACAATTATTCTAACTCCAAAATTTTACATGTCAAAACTAAAGAAACTTTGTTATTTTGATATGTTCACAAAAACATTATTAAAAATATTTCTTCAGTGAATCTTATAAAAGCTGAAAAGTATGAACTCACTTTGTACGGCTAACTTTTACTCTTGATTTTTCTTTCGCTACATTGGGAGTACAAGGAATAGCAGCTGCACCAATCCACATGCCCAGCATGGAATTTGTTGTTGGCTTCTTCTCATCCTTTGACAGAGGGAGGAAAACAGAGGTGTGAAGGTGTACTTACACACTGAGCATACATACACACACAAGGAAAAAGAGTGTTCATGTGCAAAAGTGAGGGAGAAAAAGAAAAGAAAAATGAAAACTAACTACTTTAAATTATTTTCCTAAAGCAATAAATTCTGGTGAAGTGAGTTATRAACAAACCCAAACACAATCAGAAGTTGGAGAATGGCAACAACAAATTACAAGAAGCGACCCATTTATGTTCTAGAGAGTAAAAAATTTTCACAATTAAGAATTCAAATAATCCAACCAATAAATGGGCCAAGGACCTGAAGAGACACTTCTCAGAAGATGATGTACAATCAATCAACAAACACATTAAAAAATGTTCATCATCACTAGCAATTAGAGAAATGCAAATCAAAACCACTCTAAGATCTAAGATTTCATCTCACTCCAGTCAGAATGGCAGCCATTATGCATACAAAAAACAATAGTGTTGGTGAAGATATGGGGAAAAAGGTACACTCATATTATACTGCTGGTGGGACTGCAAATTGGCGCAGCCCATATGGAAAGCAGTATGGAGGTTTCTTGGAAAACTGGGAATGGAACCACCATTTGACCCAGCTATCCCTTTCCTCGGTCTATACCCAAAGGACTTAAAAACAGCATACTATAGGAACACAGCCACATCAATGTTTATAGCAGCACAATTCACAATAGCTAAATTGTGGAACCAACCTAGATGCCTTTCAATAGATGACTGGATTAAAAAATGTGGTATATATACACAATGGAATATTACTCAGCAATAAAATCATGGCATTCGCAGGTAAATGGATGGAGTTACAGAAGATAATGCTAAGTGAAGTTAGCCAATCCCAAAAAACCAAATGCCAAATGTTTTCTTTGATATAAGGAAGCTGATTCATAGTGGGATAGGGAGAGGGAGCATGAAAGGAATAGATRAAYTCTAGAGAGGGCAGAGGGGTGAGAGGGGAAGGAAGGGGGCATGGGGTAATTAATGATGGTTGAATGTGATGATCATTATTATCCAAAGTACATGAATGAAGACACGAATTGGTGTGAGGATACTATGTATATAACCAGAGRTATGAAAAATTGAGCTCTATATGTAATAAGAATTGTAATGCATTCCGCTGTTATATATAAATAAAAATAAATAAATAATAAATTAAAAAATTATTTTTAAGAAATAAATTATTTTTCAAATTTATATCTAATATATGAATGTAAAAGCATACTTTTATCAAAAGAAAACTCATAAAGTTCCGACATTATAAGATACTTCTTAAAAAATGTCTTTGTTATTAGGAAGCAGCAACCTGTGGTACTGTTGTCATAATTAAAAATGAAGAGATACATAGGTGATTTCTTTCTATGGTATCTGATCGTCCAAATTCTCCTTATCCCCATTATACTTTATCTAAAGCAGGGCAATTTCTGTTGACCAAAATTGAGAACATTAAGAATTAATGTCAGAATTAAGAGATAAGAGCAGAGTCAGAACTAATGCTAAGAATGAGGTAGGGATAAGAACAAACCTAATAAGTATAGAAAGTTTAAAAAAAAAAAAAAAAAACAACTTTAACCAGGATAAAATCTAGGAAAAAGTCATTTTAAATATGTATAATTTGCTATATTTTTTAGTCACTTGATCAAACAAAAAGAGAATGAGCTTTATGTATTAATTGCAAACTAAATCAATGAATCAAATTCATAAATCAGGTTTTACTATATTTATTAGGGTAACTAGAATGAACACAAGTAATCATCACACAAAGTTAAAAAAATAAAAGTCTATGGCTAGATTATAGGGTACTCACAGACAATGAGTCTTCCTATGATAACTTAGTATCAACCCAGCACAGTGCTAAACACAAGAAAATGCCATTTTTTTATAAGTAAATTGAAAGCAACCCTATAACTTGGTACTTCAACATAGTCAATGAATCAATAAGCTATTTTTCTTAATAGATTGTTGAACCTAACTGACTTTARCTTTGCAAAATACTCAAGAAAATCAGTGTCACTTTTGGACTCAGATTTCCCATTTTGTTTCCACAATCTTGAATTTAAGGAAATAATATTCTTAATGACTTCATTATGAACTCTGTTCACTTTCCAAGTAATTTTAAATTTATTTACTTCTCAAAAATTAAGTTATGAAAAGTTTATGTGCCATTCCACCTTATGTATGTGTCAGAAATCCTTTTTATGATTGTATACTATTTGTAAGTATTACCTTTTAAATTTATCATTAATAATTATATACTTACTGATTAACAACTACAATTTAGGTGCCCAATAAGATAGCTAAACATTACTCCAGTTCATCCTAAAGAATATACTGTGTAAAGCTGTATAAATGATAGAGAAGATATACACCACCCAGTAATAGCACTGTATAAAAAGTTAATGCTGCMGGAAGCAAAATGACTAATTAAAATGAAATGCAAATTTTTTAAAAAGCTGTCTCTAAAAACATTAGTGGGAAATTAAACAATGATTTGAGAATAACTCACCTAAAAATAAACAACCTAAAGATGTGTCATTCTGAGAACATGACAAGTTTTTTAAGAGACCGTGATGTTATCAAAGACTTATATACTTTAAAGTGCTCAGTYGAAGAGGGTAATATTTATAAGCAACTAATTTCACTGTAGTTTTTCTTTTATACAAGTTACCACTTGTGTACTATTGCCATTTCTTTATGTGAGCTATTATTTCCCAGCCCATTTAGGTAAAGGATTCAATAATTTACTCAACTATCTTTTTATAACTATTTAGGCTGGCCAGCCCAAACACATTTTATTATGCTTCTTTCATGTGAAACTCACAATTAGTGAAGATCTATTGTTAACTTATAGAGTAAGTAGTATTGTGGCACAAATGCTATTTAATGAACTGTATGTAAAGTGAATTTCTATGACATGCCAAATGTGGAATGTGGAGCTAGTAGCAACAAAGTTGTTTTGACTGTGCTAGCTGTAATTTTGGATATTTTATAGCTGCTAAGAAAAAATTTATTTCCTGTCTTCTCCACCTAGATGATGGTGATTCCTGATAACCACATTTTGGGCCAGTGCCATCTATTGTCTGTGGTTAACATACAGTAACTATTCAAGGAGAAGTTAGGAAAAAAATACAATTACTTCAGAGAAGACACAGAAAAAACTGGATGATCTTTGGATTTAAACATTGTTAAAGTTCAGAATGGTTTGGGCCTTTGCTTCCTAGTAATAGTGATAGGACTGATATGATGAATATTAGTTGCTGGATAAATTTGTGTCAAATGACTTAAACTTATATTTCTATTTCACTCAAGCAGTGTAAGAATTGAAATAACAAAAAAAAAAGCCTCTTGAAGATGGTTCTTTTACAGTAAAAAATTAAATGATCACAATTAACATCTTACATTTATAGTGTCCTAATTTATAAATAATTTTTATCTAATTTTCATAATGATCCAATGAAGAGAGCAAAATGAGACTGGAGAGCTTAAATGACTTGCTTAGGGTMACACAGCATATCAGAGGCTGAATGAGGACTAAATGTAAATCCAGTTCTCTTTCCACCTTTAAAGTATTTCTTAGTGATCTTGTAAGCCAGGGAGTATTAAGAAGAAAAATTTCAGTGGGGAAAAGTTTTACTGTAGGTTGTAAACAAATGCAAAAAACAAAAATATCACAAAAGTTAAAAYTCATATTGTCTTATTCTATCATTTTAGTACCCTGAAAAATGTTGCCATATATTGTTAAACAAAACATTAAAGACAAAATACAAACCAAGCCCTGGTCAAAAATTATTAGTCATAAACTGGAGGGTGCATGAGGGTAGAAAACATGGTAGAATGAGATGGACATCATYACCCTAGRTACATGTGTGACTGCACATATGTTGTGATGCTACATTGTGTTCTTTTTTTCAAAACATACCTTTCAGAAATAGAACCAGAAAAATGAAATGTTGTGCTGCAGTTGTGYACAATGAATCAAAACACATTCTGCTGTCACATATACCCAATTAAAATTTAAAAAATTAATTAACCAAATAAACAAAATATATTTTTAGGAAAATATATACAGTTAGCCCTCTGTAWCTGCAGATTCTACAAACAGGGATTTGACTAACTGCAGACTAAAAATGGAGAAAAAACCTGCATCTATACAAAGTAGTAGTACAGACTTTTTTCTTGTCATCATTCCCTAAGCAATACAGTATAACAACTATATTTGCGGTATTAGGTATAAGTAACCTAGAGATGATTTAAAGAATATAGGAGTGGCTAGGGTTTCAACTCAGTTGTAGCATACTTTTCTAGTAGGTGTGAGACCTAAGGGGAGGAAAGGAAAGAGAAGGAAAAGGAAGTAAATGGGAGGATATTCAGAGGTTATTTTTAACAGTACACCATTTTATATAAGGGACTTTATTATCTAAAGATTTTGTATCAGTGGGAGGATCCTAGAACCAATACCTCATGGATTCTAAGGGATGTCCACATTACCAATTYTATACTATGTTCTTTTTTTCAAAACATGCCTTTCAGAAATAGAAAAGATAGAAGTTATCTTTGCTGCTGCATTTGGAAAAGACAAAACATTTTTCATATAAATGAACTGAACAAGACCTAGGTGAATAAATTTTCCAATATTTTAAGATAAATTATATAAAACTATTGATATTTACCTGAGGAGCAATACGATTAACAATGTCTGATATCTCATCACTACCTGTGGTGTAAATCTTTTTTTTTCTTCCTTTACCTAAAGAAACAAAAACATTTTATAAATTTTAAACCAAAAAACTTAATTTTAAAAAATGATTTTAATTAGTATGGCTTAGATGAATATGCACTGACAATATCAGATATAAAAATGAAATAAATTCTCAAAAAAAATCTGCTGTATAAAAGTTCCTGATGCTACCTGAAATTTTATAAATTTTAATCATTTATCAAATATTTATCCACATAAAAATGTTAATAACAAATTACCTAACTGTTTTGTCATTGGAGAATTCTGATCCCAAAAGATATCATTCTGTCCATCTGGATCATTTGGAGAACTGAAGGTACATGAAAACAAATCCATTTTCAGCACTCTCTGTGGTGTTTCATGCCTTTCTAAACAAAATATTGTTAAATAACAATTGTTGCATGTTAAAGCATTGTTTTATTTCATAATATCACAGTCAAATAGCAGCTTACTTTTTATAGTTCAATATAAAAATTTCTCATCACAATATTACTTTAACAAAATTGAAATGTTTGGCATAAAAATCTACATTAAGACTTCATAAACTTAACACTATGAACAGCAAAAATTTTTAGGTATTTTGGTACCTCTGTGAATGTAAAATAGTGTATAACCTAGTTTCTCCATTCATTACAAAACTGGGCCTGGAAGACTCTGGAGAACCACTTGTAATTCATATATACATTTCCAAAATGTATCCCAACAGAAACTTCAGTAAAAGTCTTTTAGCCACCTTTCACCAATTTTATCAAACTTCCATTAACTATTCCCCCACCCCCACCCCAAGAAAAAATTCGTGATCCATTTTTGGGGGAAGTTTTGTCTACAGTCACTTAATATAATCTGGGCTTGATTGAGTTGCTTTATTGGGAGTTCATTAAAGCCCATGTAAAGTAGCCAACGCCGTATTTTAAGAACATGCTCTAGGAAAAGGCTTTTATGTAAGTTTTGCTCTTAATTATGAATAGGTCTTTCAACATGGTACATCAAAAACTTATCAGTATGGAAGGGGCCCTTCCTTTCCTTCTCTAAGGGATGTTCCARCAAGCAACTTCCGGTTTCTTCAAAACATTGCGGGACAACCCCTTCTCTAAAGCAAGTCGGGTCAAAATAAAAGTTTAAAGGGAACAATTTCCCCCGGGAACACGCTGCAGGCAATAGATCGGGCGAMTGATTCTAGTTTCGCCACAGCTGACCGGAGGGCAGCCTAGGAACTAGCAGTCCTCCTGCAAACAGGTAAACCGCAGCACCCCTTCCCGTGGTGGGGGCGGTCCCAAATGGCAGAGCCGAGCTCACACTCGGGGTCCAAACATTCGGRGGCGCGGTGGGGGGTCATTTTTGGAGTAGCCTAGGGAGAGACTCACAGAAAGAAAAGACGCTGTCGGAATCCACCCCCATCCCCCATTTTCCGGTTAATTAATGACTGGGCCGTGGAGCTGCAGGGCCGAAGGCGGGCCTGCAGCGCTGCCCACGTCTCACCCTCGGGGTTACTGTTAATGCACGAAGCGGGTGCTGGACGCTGCTCTTGCTGCCACACCGGCCCGGGAGGGCCTTCCGAAGCCCCGCGGAGACCCGACCCGCGGGCCGACTTCAGCCGCCTGCTGCGTGGCTCGACCACCGAGCTGCAGTCCTCAGTCGCCGCCGTTCTACGCGGCGTCTTCTTCGGGGCACTGCTGTCCCCATATTTCCTCCGCCGACTCATTCCTACGACCTCCCCCCACTCCACCAGACGTTTCTTTCACATTTTGCAACGGAAGGAACCGAGCAACGGCACTATAAATCGGACTCCACGCCAACGGCCGCCGCCATTTTGGCCGGTTGGGGCGCGCGCAAGAGGTTGCCACTCATTGGCTGCGTCCGTGTGAGGGGACGGAACCTGGGAGGTTCCGGTTGCGCGCGCTTTCGCGGCTGGGATCTGAGCCTGCTGGGGCGGGGGGGGGGGGAGGTCTAGCCTCAGCCGCTTCGGACTGAAAGGAACTGTAGCGGTGGTGGTCCAGCCCAAGGAGCTGAGGGTAAACCATGAGGTAGAAAGGAGATTGAATTCATTCGCAGTTTTTAAAAAATTGAATTTATAACTAAAACTACACATTGCACAGCTTCAGATTATGGTGGGTTTTAGGATTTGCTAAGAAGAGGAACCAGGTATGGAATAGAAATAAGTAAAACTAATTTTTCCTAGATGATATGTATCAAGACAAATGAAAGAAACAGTTCTTAAAAATTTAATCAAGTTGCTGGGTGCAAAAAGTAAATATTTAAACAATTATGCTTTGATAGATTAGCGACAAAAACTGAAGTTTTAAAGAATTGTGGTTTATAATAGCATATGAGAACAAATAACTAGGAATAAATTTAACTAGAGATTGAAAGAACTACAAAAAGTTTTTGAAAGAAATTGAAAATCTAAATAAACCAAGGGTGTAATATGGGTTCTAAAACTATTGTTAAAATATTGTTCTAGAGAAGAAGCATCTCCAAAAAAAGGGTCCAAAGAGTCCCTGCAGAGAAGGGGCACCTTGACTCAGGACAGTGGGGTTCTCTGTAGGTATGACAGAAAAGAATTTCAGCATAGGCCAGTCAAGCATAGACACATAAGACAGGTTTATTTAAGCAAGTGTATACATATTGAAGGAAGAATGAGGGCAAACCGAAGAGAGAGATCTTTGTGGGTAAAGGAGGAATACACTTTCAAGGGAGAATATGGACTATCTTGAGAGTGAGAGACATGTTTGGGTTTGGGGGTTCCCAGCTCTTCTTTTAAAGGAAACTTGGCCATGGGTTGGCATGGGAATTTACCCAGGAATGATATCAGTTCTGTGATCTCAAAATGGTTTCTGATGGTCTGGTCTGTTTTTGGGATCTTCAGGCTAATGTGATCTTCAATATCTGATCAGTAGTTAGAGCTAGAAATTCCCTAAATTATAAGTTCTCAAGATATTATGCTTAATGTATTTATTGGGTGCAACAAAGTAGACTTACAGATTTCCCAGGGATTTGGGAGTAAGGGKCCTGAAAGAGTGATTGGCTTGGGAAGTAACAAGTCTGGAAAAGTATGCAGAATTTCAAATTAATATCTTTTTTTCTTGTCCTCCTTTTATGTCTCCTTTCTACCTGTTTATTATTTCTTCTAACATAACTCAAGTTCTTCCCAAATTGTTCTATAGAGTCAGGGTAAATACATTCCGAATCTCAGCAGGGTTGTGTGTGTATGTGTGTGTGTTTGTGTGTGTGTGTGTGTGTGTGTGTGTGCACAATACAATGATTATTGTAAAATTTATATGAAAATGCAAAGTACCAAAAATATCCAAGAAACTCAATCTCTTGAAGAATTCTGAAATTGGAAATATATACCAGGTATCAAGACTTAGATGCAGTTATGATAGTTAAGACAGTTTTATAATGGTAAAAGGAAGGACAAGTGAAACAGAATAGATCACCCCAAAACAGACTTCCACATAAATGAAGGCTTGATTTAAGACAAATATGAACCTCCTGAATAATGAGAAAAGTATTTTTAAAAATAAATAATACTTGGTTAATTTGAGATTGACATGGAAAAGGGGAAAAAAATGACCCCTACCTCAAACCGTATCCCTAAATGACATGCAAATTGACTGCAGATTTAATTGTGAAAGATAATTTTGTTATTTTATAAGATGATATAAATGTTTTCATGACAGTAAATTAATTTTAAATAGAACAAAGATCACAACACTAAGGAAAATAATTATAAATTCAACTACCTTAAATTGATAACTTGAAAGCTTCTTTCCAGAGAAGGGTGACATTATAGAGAACAAAAGACAAGGCACAAATTGGGAGAAGATATTTGTAAGTTATATAATTAAGGGTCCATATATAAGCTATATAAAGAACTAATGGATAAAAAATATGGGGTGACACTTGAGCAGGCTCTTCACAAGAGAAAAACCTGAATATTCAACAAACTTGTAGAAAGGTGCTCAACTTCATTTTTAATTTAATTGGTTTTGCACACAGCTCTCTAGCAAATTCTTAAGTTTCCAAGAGAAAATGATTATCTCAATATAACTTTTCATGATGGTCTGAGATGGACTGTGAACGTAGAGATTACTGAAGTCAGGTGCTCACTTCTAGTCTGATCATTTTTACCTGATTGGAACCACCTGGCCAGACTCAGGCATCTGGGTAGCAGAGGCTCTTGATGAAGCAGTAAGCATGGTAGGAGGTTTTAACTACAATTGCTTATAGGACAGGATCTGCTACCCACATACCTGAGTCCAGCCAGGTGGTTCCAATCAGGTAAAAATGATCAGACTAGAAGTGAGCACCTGACTTCAGTAATCTCTACGTTCACAGTCCATCTCGGACCATCATGAAAAGTTATATTGAGATAATCATTTTCTCTTGGAAATTTAAGAATTTGCTAGAGAGCTGTGTGCAAAACCAAGGGGTGCAGAAATAATAGAGAAGCCTGCTAAGAGTGGTACAGAAAGAATTATGCAGATTGAGGACCACTAGAATATCTGTTGATGTTGCGCTCCTTGAAACCCAAACAGCCATTTAGCTACAATGTCCCACAGATAACTTCTGTTGTACTTCTAGTTCTTTTTTCTTTCAAGGTGTACTTTTGCAGTCAACCTTCCTTTTCTTGGGGTAGCTAATACCAGTAGTTCTTTATTCTTTATGTACAAAACAACAACAACAACCACAAAATACAAAACCAAAACAGGAAAAACAAACAAACAAAAAACAACAGGATTAGAATGAAAGGTTATTCTCTAATTGTTTATTTATTCTCATTAGAGGCATGAATTGGGAACAAAGAAATGGACAGCTACAAAATGCTTAATTTTTAAATGCTGCTTGCCAGCACAATGCCAAAATTCCTTATGGATATGATGATTGCTATCATCTTTTATGAAGTTACAGTTATGAATGATTTGAGCTGCTTTTTAAAATAAGTTAACAGAATATTATCTTGAGAAGTTCAAAATAAAATGTAATGAGAATCCCAAGATGGAGTCAAGAGTTAAAATATTTTAGTGAATTATTTGAGCCTGAGTCAAATCATAGTGGTTACTGCCTGTTATCTGAAATCACTATTTACATTTTTTGGCTCAGTTATTTTATACAGACATAAAAATTAATGAAATAAAAATTGTATTTTTTTGGGGGGATAGTCCATTCTCCTGTTTTTGAAATAGAGACATTTCCAGATTTTTGATTTTAGAATCTCCAAAATATGAGGAAATTTCTGTGACACAAATATGAGGCTGAATGTTATTCACCCTCTATCTTATCAGTTTCCTCAACTTCAGAACTCACTGTAATACACTTCCTATATTATCCATAAAGCATAGGGGGACAGAAAAACAAAACACCATGTCCCCAAATGTTTCCTTTCTGTTCCCCCAAAACTAACCACAGTAAGAGAACAATGAAGGCAAATCTGGGCCAGAAGGTGCAGATACATACTATCGTGAAGGTCACTGGCTTTCTCTTATGCACACTGGGAACTAGGGCAAGTTAGTGTTATCTGTTAAAAGCTGCTTTCTTGCATGTACATCAGGTTATTTCTTTCTTGAGACGCTGGTCAGGCAAGCAGACTAAGCAAGCTAATGCTAATGATGTCGCTGCTTCTGCAGCCTAGCAGAGAAAACTCTCGAGTGTAAAAGAGTACAGAACTGAGGACACTGTGGAAAGGACATGTCACTTGTCCAGCCAGCAGCCACTGGACTAAACACCATGAGGGAGAGAAGGCAGTACTTGCCAAAGCACTGTGAGGGAGAGAGGTGCTGTTAGCTTGTCACCACTAAACTCTTCTTGGAGCAGTTAGCTTTCTCCAATAAACCATGTGTCTCCYGTGCTATTTTCAGGCACTGTCTTTGGCCTGTCTACAACCTACAGCACTGCCCTGACGCAAATGGGCTGTGGACGAGACAATTCCCTTGCCAGCCTCCAACTTTAGATTGTCATGACCTTTGTTTTCTCAGCTTCTACACCACAGCTATATTGGAGAGGTTCCCATCTGCACCACCGTGAATCTCTAGTCATCAGATGAGTTTTCAGAGTCAGATAAAAGTGTCATGAACCAGTTCATGCTTCCATCCTGGCCAAATAGACTCCAAATTTCTACCACTTTCTACAGAGTCCCCTTCCAGCTCAGATTGTCCCTTCATTAAAAAGCTCTTTATATCATACTTCCCTAATGGGGGGATAAGCTATGAGATATAAAATCCCTCATTAAGATTTTACAGAATAATGTTTATCATATCTTAATTTTGATCATGGTAGAATGTATCTAACTTTAAATCCAACCAAACAAAACATCACAAAATAACTGCATTCTTACAGGTTAAGTTAAAGGCAAAGGAGTCTACACAACAACACTACAATTAGAACAAGGCTCTAATCCTAAATTTGTAAACAGAAGCCCTAGATGGAACTTTCCCACACGAGCAGCATCAGAATCAGTGTCATTGAAAACTTGCTAGAAATCTGTTTGGGGTCCCACTCTAAATTTACAGGATAACAATCAGTGTGGGTCCAGAAATATGAAAGTTTACAAACTCTCCAGCTGCTTTAGATGCTCCTTTAATGTCTGAAGAATCCCTGATTGAAATCATTTTCTTTCTAAAAGCCAAATACAAATTTTAAAAATGTTTTATAGGTGCTGAGAAAATGGGCTCATCTTTAAAAAATGAAACATTCACATTCTTAATATATTCAACAGCTCATGTAAAAATAAGAGTTTGTATAACAAAGTAAAACACTCAATAATGTAATGTGGTATAGAAGAAAAGCAGTTATGCATCCTTTATATGCTATACATA